TATCAGAGCCCCTAAATGTATTAATACTAACAAACCTGAAGAGAGAAATAGACAATTATATAAAAACAGTAGGGGAGTCCAACACCACACCGTCAGTAATGGATCACCCAAACAGGAAAAAAAAACAAGGAAATGCTAGAATTGAACCATACTTTAGACCAAACAGACTTGACCTATATAGAACATTCCATCTAATAGAAGAATATATAGTTTCCTCAAGTACACATGGAACATTCTCCAGGATAGAACATAGAATAGGACACAAAATAATACTTACCAATATTTAAGAATGAAATCATATTTTTTTTTCTGACAATGGTATGAAACTAGAAATTAGTAAGAAAAAGCTAGAAAGTCTACAAATATGTTGAAACTAAACAACAAACTTCTGAACCAATGGGCCAAAGAAATCAAAAGGGAGATCAGAATGTTAACTCAACTGAACATAATAATAAAGGGAAAAAAAGAAAGTTGACTCAAAACAAATGAAAATGGAAAAACTGATCAAATCCTATGGGATCCTGCAAAAATAGTTGAGGAAAATTTATAGCAATAAATGGATACATTAAGAAATCAGATCTCAAACTAAGCGAACACCTCAAACAACTAGAAAAAGAACAAATTAAGTCCAAAGTTGTCAGAAGGAACTAATTAAGGTCAGAGGGGAAATAAATGAAATAGGGATCAGAAAAACCGGAAAGATCAATGAAAGTGACTTTTTAAAAACAAAACTGACAAACCTTTAGCTAAACTAAGAAAAAAGGACTCAAAATTAGAAAAGGAAGAGGAAACGTTATAAGTGATACCACAAATATATAGAATCATAAGAGACTATTGTGAATGATTACATGCCAAAAGATTATATAATCTAGAAGACCCAAATTTCCAGAAACACACAACCTATCAAGACTGAATTAGAAAAATCTGAACAAGTCAATAATGAATAAAGGGTTTAAATCACTTATCAAAAACCTCCCAATACAGAAAATCCCAGGACCAGATGGCTTCACTAGTGAATTCTACCAAACATTTAAGAAAAACATTAATGCCAATTCTTCTCCAACTCTTCCAAAGGGGGGGAGAAATGAACTGGAGGAAATGCTTCCAATCTCCTTCTACAGGGCCAGCATTAGCCTGATGCCAAAGCCAGATATGGACACTACAAGAAAAGACTACTATACAACAATATTACTTATGAAAATAGATGAAAAAATTAAAATATTAGGGGACTGAAATAAAGAACACATTAAGAAGATTATACACCATGATCAAGTAGGATTTATCCCTTCAACTCAAGGATGATTCAACATACACAGATCAATAAATGTAATACATCACTTTAATAGAATGAGATAAACATAAATGCCAAAAAAGTATGTGATAAAATATCATCTTTTTACAATATAAACCCTCAACAGATTGTGTATAGAAGAAACATACCTCAACATAATAAAAGCCATATATGACAAACTCACAGCTAACATTATATTCAATGTTGAAAAACTGAAAGCTTTCCTTTTAAGAACAGGAAAAAGACAAGATTGCCCTCTCACTCTCACCTCTCTTAATACAGTACTGGAAGTCCTAGCTGGAGAAATTAAACAAAACAAAAAAAATGGCATCCAAATCAGAAAGGAAGAAGTAAAATTTCACTATTTGCAGTTGATATTTTGTATATAGAAAATGTCAAAGACTCAACCAAAAAACTATTCAAACTAAGCAACTTCAGTAAAATTCCAAGATATTAAAAAAAAAATCACACAGAAATCATTTGTTACTATGCCCAAATTTGAGGCATCTGAAAAATAAAACTATCCCATTCACCATAGCACCAAAACAATAAAATACCCAGTACTACATTTAACCAAGTGTAAGATCTGTACAATGAAAACCACAAAACTTACTTGAAAAAAATTGAAGTAGATACAACACATGGAAAAAACAACCTGTGTTCATGGATCAGAAGCATTTTGTTAAAATGTCCATGCCACCTAAAGCCTTCTATAGAATCAATGTAATCGCTGTCAAAATTCAAATGTCATTCTTCACATAGAGAAATGGAATCACCAAGGACCCCAAATAGCCAAAGCTAGAACAAAGATGGAGGGATCACATTTCCTGATTTCAAATTATACTACAAAGCCATTGGAATAAACACAGTATTATTGGCATTAAAATGAAACAGACCAATGAAAGAGTCGAGAGCTCAGAATAAAACCCATGCATTTTCAGTCAACTAATAATACTTGACAAGAGAAGATATAACACCTAACAGGGAAATGGTATCTTTAAATGGTGTTGGGAGAACAATGCAGTAGAACAATGAAATTGGACCCCTATTTTACAGCACTCAAAAAATTAACTCAAAATAGATCAAAGCCTTAAATATAAAACCTGATACCAGGAAACTCCTAGGAAAAAATGTAGTGAAGAAGCTCTTTAGGACTGGTTTTGGTAATGATGTTTTGTATAGGGCACCAGAACAACAAAAAAACAAATAGGACTACATCAAACTTAAGCTTCTTCACAGCAAAGGAAACAATCAACAAAATGTAATGGCAACACAGTGAATGGGAGAAATTTTTTGCCAACCATGTATCCAATAGCAGGTTAATATCTAAAATATACAAAGAACACATTCAATCTAATTATGAAATAGGCAGAGAAATAGATATTTTCTCAAAGACATCCAAATGGGCCAACAGGTACACGAAAAGATGCTCAACATAACTAACCATCAGGGAAATGCAACTCAAAACCACAGTGAAATAACACCATATACCTGTTAGAATGGTTATAATTAAGAAGACAAGAAATAAGGAGTGTTGAGGAAGATATGGAGAAAAGGGAACCCTTGTACACTGTTGGTGGGAATGTAAATTGGTTCAACCACTATGGAAAACAATATTAAAGTTACTCAAAAATTAATTGATCTTTGATGGACTGTATGGTGACTAATATAACATAATAAAATAAAATTTGAAATTAATCGATCTACTATAGGATACAGCAATCCCACATCTGGGTATATACACAAAGGAAATGAAAATAGAGTATCCAAGAAATATATATACTCCCATGTTCATTGCAGCATTATTCACAATAGCCTAACATGGAAACAACCTAAGTGCCCATCAACAGATGAATGGATAAAGATGTGATCTATATATGATAAATATACATCTCATATCTAAAAAATGAAATACTTGGCCATAAGAAAGGACATCCTACCATTTGTTACAATATGGATAGACCCTGAGGACATTACACTAAGTAAAGTAAGTCAGACAGAGAAAGGCCCATACTGTAGGATATCACTTATATGTGGGATTTAAAGAAGTCAAACTTGTAAAAACAGTAGAACGGTGGTTACCAGGAATTGAGAGGTGGGGAGGGGTGGATAGGACAGATGTTATCAAACTGTTTAAATTTACAATGAGTACTACATAAGTCCTAGAGATTTAATGCACAGTATAGTGAATATACACACCAATATTGCTTTATAATCAAACTTGCTAAGAGACTGGAACTTAATTATTCCAACCACTAAGAAATAACTCTGTAATGTGATATCGGTGCTAATTATCACTACAATGGCAATCACTACCATATAAAAATCAAATTGACATGTTGTTACCTTAAACTTACACAACACTGTAAGTCAAACATATTTCAGTGGGAAAAAGGAAAATCAGTTTTTAGAAAATAAGCCAATACATATATAAAAACCAAAAAAAATTAAAGTCAACCAGCTTTGGCTTCCATAAAATGGGTCCACAACTTGTTTCTGAGGTATTTAATGTTTCTCTGAGTCAAATCACTGAAGAAAATTTTATAGAGTAACCCAGGAAGCAGAGCAATGATATCAACAATTAAAAAGTTATTAAGCCTTAAGTTGCATTCATATGATGACACAGGCATATCTTAAAGAACAGCTAATCCATTGGCAATGAAGACAGAACTGTCATTTACCTGAGTTCTATAACAGAACTGAATTCAACTTACCATTGTTATTGAGAAAGCTTATTAGAACATAAGACTTTGATGATAGAGACCAAAATCTTTTTTTCCTCCAGAGTTTGCCAAACATGAATTCTTTCATACATTCTGTAAAATTCCTAACCATTTTAGTCTTAAAAAAATAAGCCACAAACTAGAGTATGAAATTCATTAAGTTCCATTATAATCATTAGTCTCAGCAACCCCATCAACATTTATCCCAACTGTATTTAGTCTCATTCTTTTCCTCATTTACCCGTATCTTTCAAATTCTCTCAAGGTTCAAAAAAGGCAGTCTTCTTCCTGATTAACAGCTCACAAAATTCTCCCAGATGAATTTTTTTCCTACAGTTTTATTCTATTAGTTTGGGTATACTTATATATTGCATTGTAAAACATTTTAAATCAATGTTTTCAGGGTGCCTGGGTGGCTCAGTCGTTAAGCAACTGCCTTCGGCTCAGGTCATGGTCCCGGGGTCCTGGGATCAAGCCCCCCATAGGGCTCCCTGCTCAGTGGGAAGCCTGCTTCTCCCTCCCACTCCCCCTGCATGTGTTCCCTCTCTTGCTCTGTCTCCCTCAAATAAAAATCTTTTAAAAAAATTAAAACAAAAAAAAATCAACGTTTTCATTGGTAATTTGTCAACTACCTTAGAAGAAATTCAAGGCCTGATGCTTTCTGTATGTATGATCAGAGAACCAAAAGGCACCATAAAATATATTTTGTATTAAATATGGCTTTTCCAATGAAGTAAAGCAACTGCACTCATCCACAGTTAACCAAGTAGCCAAAGGTGAAGTATAGAGTTAGGTGAGTCAAAGATCCAAAATAATCATATTCCAAATAGTCACTGAAATATGGATATGTGCATCCCAAATGCCTATATTTTATGAAAGGCAGTGTGTTATTAACAAAGGAGAACTGAAAGAATTACTAAAGAACAAAGCTAGTAATTCTAGACCTTGGATACACCTCCTGGACTGTATGTGTATATTCCCATCTGTTACTCCTCACCCATCTCCTTACCAGAACTGCTGCAGTGGGAGGGGTCAACAGGTCTTCCATTTTTATCAGAGCAGGCTATTGCTTGAAAGCGCATGCCTTTTCCACATTCCTTGCTGTCTCCTTGTATCCGATATCCTCGTTGAGACTCCCTTCTGCCTTCTGGAAGAATGCAATCTGACCAGTTGCCATAAGGCTGAGATATAAATACATCACAAGGGCATAGTTCTGTTTCTATGAGAGGGTACAGGTCAGAGTCCTGGCATTTCTCTTTCTTCCTGCTTTTCCCTGTTCCAAAAAGAGACATGGATATATTAATGTCACATCTGTTTTATTAAAAGTCACATTGTCTTTACTAGTGTTTGTTTACTAAACATCAAATATAGGCTATATTTATAGCCTTCCCCCACCCTTCTCCACTTTTTTTTTGCTACGAAAGCAAATCCTAGGACAATGGAAGCAACTCCCAAAGCAACTGTGAAATTAATTTGAGGGGTGCCTGGGTAACTCAGTTGGTTAAGCATCTGCCTTTGGCCCACATCAGGATCCTTGCTCATCGGGGAACCTGCTTCTCCCTCTCCCTCTGCCTGCCGCTCCCTACCTAGCTTGTATTCTCTCTCAAATAAATAAAATCTTAAAAAAAAATAGTTAATTTGAAAAAAAAATAAAAAATGGTTTTATGTTGATAGTGGTAAAAAAAAAAATAAACTAAAAGATGTTTGCTATAGTGACTCAACAGCTAGAAAGTTTTTGTTAATTTATTATGATTTTCCCTATAACTTGGTAAGAACAAACATTACCTTGTCTCAGTTTTCCTGGAAATTAATGGTTTCCAGGGAAACCAACAAAACCCTGGAAATATTAACATCCTCTCTTTTTGATGTACATTTTTGGAACCAGTTTATTTATTCAAAGAATAATGGACCTGGAGTGAGGCTAGGTGTCACTTGGGGTGTGGCAAAGTAGAACTTATTTTGGTCCTTGCCATCAGGCAGTTCACAAATGCTGACACATTAAAAGGAAATAAATGCTCAAATAATGATGGGTAATTTAATCAGAGAAAAAGCTATGGCTTCTACTCTGAGATACCTTTTTCATTTAAGTATTCTAGAATATGACTTTACCTTTACCAATTGACTTTGATGGACCTTTTAGCTGTGATCCTGAGTAATGAGAATGCAGAATCATTTCCCACTGCTCTGAGTACTTGATACTCATGTTTAATGGCATTTCAAGTCAGCATGTAACTTGATTCAACTTTCCTGCCAACACACTTCCACTAGATTCCTAAAAATTTTCTAATAGATCTGATTATATTTTGTTTCCTCAGTAGTAAGTCATCAGCTTGAGTCTTGGCTGGTTATTAAAAAAAAAATGAAGTAGGCTGCTTTATTAGTCTTATTCCCAGTGTTTATAGGTGTTTTAGAAATGCTGGATTCAAGCTGATGCATGGGATATTATCTCATTGTCAAATAGTTTATACACAATTTTATAGTTGCTGCCTGGATGACTGGCTCTATGGTCTGACATGTTACTTATGGCCACCATAAATAAGGATTCCTGCAAGGTCTTAAATGATCTTGCAAGAGCTTCAGCCATGCCACTATCTCTCTGGGAGGATGTATACACTTGCCTCTACCATTAGGAGCACTTAATGAGAAACAGTTTGAGAAACACAGCCTCATTCTGGCTGTGAGAATTTACTGGTTGAAAGATAGGTCAATGCATGGTGACTGGTTTCTTCCTACCAGCACCTAACATACCCAAGTCTCTGGTGCTTCTTAAATGTCCATAAAAAACTGTTGTCTCCATCTCTTCAATTTCTAATCTCTTCTCACTCATTTAAGCCTGGATTCGGAGTCCATCTATTCCTTGAAACTACTTACTATTGACAAAGTAATAAAACAAATGAAGCCCTGGAATATCTTTATACCTTATCCTTCAGACTTAATCATTTAATGATTATTCAGAATGTTGACCACACCATCATTGTTGACATAGCCTTCCCAAATTCCATTGTACCTTACCTTTTTGTCCCTCACCCCTCCATTCCTCTGGTAAGATCTCATTTGTTTGTTGCATTATTTCCCCTCTCTACATCTCTTAACTGATGGGCTTTCTCAGGGCACTGCCCTAGGTTCTCTTCTCTTCTGATCCATTACCTTTAGCCATCGAGTTTAAAGGACCCTCTATAACTCTTAAATTCTTAATTATTATCTCCATTCTAGATTTCTTGCTCAAGCTTCTGAGCTATAGACTGGAACCTAAAGGGCCAATCAAACTCAACCTGGCAAAATCCGTACTCAACCTCTTCACACCTGGGCCTTTCTTTCTCCATCTTCATTTCCCAATTATATCAACATGACCAAGTCAAAATCTAAAATGTCACACTTGAATTCTATTGTATTACCTGCATCTGTTTAATGACAAAGATCTTTCATTTCAAATGACTAAATATCTCTTGAATCAGTCTTTATTTCCATTCTGACCAATACCACCCGTATATAGCCCATCTCCAAATTTCCAGATTAAATCCCCGCAACAGCTTCTTCTAGTATTTTATTGCCATTTTACTTCATATTCCCTTCATCTTCTCCCCACACTGCAGCTAGAAGTAGCTCACAAAGATGGAAGTCCGATCACATCATTCATCTATTGAAAACTCTTCAGTGACTTACCATAGTTCATGGAATGAAGTCTAGATCCCTTGCTATGGTCATCAAGGCTCTGCAGTACCGAAACCATTAGGACCTGCCTCCTGCCCATGTTGTGCCATTCTGCCTCTGGCATTTTACAAGCTAGACATACTGAGCATCTTTCAGTTCCTGGAAATTACTCATTGGTTTCTGGCCTCTGAATTTCTTATGCCAGAAATTTTCTTAAGTTCCAACCTCTCTCCATTGTTTAGTTAATGCCTACTCGTCCTTCAGGTCCAAACTAATACATTACCCCTGCCAGAAAGCCATCCTTGAAACTCTTCATTTTAGGTATGGAAAAGGTACTCTTCTGTACTTTCATTATCCTGCCTATCACAAACTATGCCTTTCCAAGGATGTTCACTCCTCCGTTCTGGGAACCTGTAATCATGCTACCTTTGATGGCAAAATGGACTTTGTAGATATGACTAGGATTATGGGCCTTGAGAGGAGATTATTCTGGATTATCTGGGTGGGTCCAACCTAATCACATGGTCTTAAAATTAGAAAGTCTTTCCTAAGAGAGAATAGTCAGATACAACCTTACTGAACTTCAAGAAGGAAGAAGAGAGTCATGAGCCAAGGAATGTGGATAGCCTCTAGAAGCTAGGGGGAAAAATACATTTTCCCCTAGAGCCTCCAGAAAGGTATACAAAGTCACCAACATCTTGTTTTGAGCCTTGTGAAACTGAAGTTTGCTTTAGACCTACATGACTATGAGATCATAAATTTGTGTTTTAAAGCCACTAAATTTGTGGTAATTTGTTACAGCAGCAATAAGAAGCTAATGGAACACTAATATGACCACTATTGTCACAAGTTCTATATTGTTTTAATTGTAATAGAATCTCGAGCTTCCATTACACTGTAAACTCTTAAATTAGGATCATCTATCTATTCCCTAGTAGTATTCCTAAGGCCTAGCAGGCATAAGTGGTCAAGAAAAATGTTCATTAATTAAGAAAAGGAAGCTTAAAAAAGTGGGGTGGGGGAGAAAGGGAAGACAAAAGGAGTGAGAGACAGCAAGAGACAGCAAGAGACAGGAGAAAGAAAAATATTCATCTACAAGGTAACCAAAAGTTGCTGGCAGAACAAGTATTCTGTACTAATATATGCAGTCTTTGTATGTGGGATAACCTTCTTCAAACACTGATGTCCTGTAATTAAGAAGGATTTAAGTTAATACAGAAATGGTTCTCAAAATAAGAAATTATTAGTGGTACTTTACTTTGATTACATTATAGTGGAAAAAAAAATCAGCATTAGCCTTTGGATTCAGAACTTGTTTACTACTAAAAAACAAGCTAACAAGAAAACCAATCCCTAATACAACTGTAAAGACATTTCCCCCCCTTAAGTCAGAGGGAAATTTTTAACTGTTCCCACAATAACAAAAAACAAGTATATATTAAATGTTTTATTTATCCAGCTATTTTGTATATTAATAACCTGAACAAATCTATTAATAGATTATTTTCAGCAATGTATAAACAACTGCTATAATTACCATTCAATCTAAAACCTGTGATGATCTAGTTTAGGTATAACACCCAAGATATCCAGATATTGAATTAAAGTCCCCTGTTAAAAATGGAAAAAAGAAAAACACACTAGATGGTCCCTCATTCCATGGAGTGGCTTATATTTTTGTCTATGTGCTTCTTTATGGGTGTCTGTGTTAAAGAGAATCACACTGTTTTACGGTCTAAGTCCATGCCTTTTACTACCATTCATGTTAGAGATTACTTAAGTTTACCACCAAATTACATGTGAGACCAAAATACAAGCATAGTACCACCACAATAAAAATAAGTCTTAAGTGAAAAATTACAATTCACTACTGCTCACTGCACACACAATAATTTTTTTTTTCCTACAACTAAGTTTCATAAAATTGACCAGTTTTGGTGTTTCCAAGACATGAAGATCATTTTGATCATTTGATCAATTGATCACACAAAGATCAATTACCCAGAAAAAAATCATAACCAATAATAATTTAGAAAAATTCTAAATAGTTTTTAATAGGAATAATCTTGGGATAGAGTGTGCATAAAATGTACAATGGTTCTTCGAATATTTACATAAGAGGTGTATTTTAAATAAACCAAATGCATTAGTTTTGACAATTCATAACAAACTGCACTAGTTCAATAAATATCCTAGGTTTTTCAATATTCCCATTCTCAATTTGCAGGTATAAAATACCATTAATAAACTCTCAAGGAAAGAAAACTGGCCACTAATTAAAACCTTCCTTTCCCTCTCCTCATCTCAAGGATAAAGAGAATTGCCAGGATGATGGTTTCTGAAGCCTTATGTATGAACGTGCACACGAAGTTTTACTGTTACCCCTGAACTTGATATTACTCCAAACACATTCTACCCCATTATATTCCCTATAAGAACTTTTTTCATCTTAGAAACACAAACAATATTGTGCAAAGTTATATATGCACAGATTTTTGTAGAAGAGAGCACAAAGTACAGCATATTTAGTTGTTTCTATTTGATTATATATTTTACCTACACTCATGAATGGGCTTCTGATTTGTGTGCAGAAACCCTGTTAAAGGTGCTCATCGATTAAGTAAATCCATTAGAGAGAGTTAAATTTAAAACATAATCTTGTAAGCCATACATTCAAATAAAGGGAATTTGAAACCAAGAGAATTAGCACTTGAACTGCTTATAAGAACAAATGGTCTTCTGTGCTTAATTCTTCAATATCAACAACAATTATATTATCCCAATGATTATTTTCGCATTTTTCCTTTGGGTCTTTATTACCTAAATTAAGTTTTCTGCATATTCAAATACAACAACAAAAAATTGTGGGATATTTATCTAGACAAGTAGTACAATACACTACACTGCATCAGTTATTTGTTTATTACAGGCAAAAATTGCTCCAGCACCTTAACTATTAATTGCTTTAATTTCCATTAAATTGCATGGATGTAAACAGAACCAATATACCACAAAAGCAGAACCTATATATGTAATTTGACTTTTATCTTCCACTAAAATTTTAAAATGTCAAATTGCTTGTAAAGTAATGGCAAAATATTAGATCTTCCTTTGATGTGTTTTACAAATCAGTCACTGCTTTCCACCCTGCTGAGATCCTGGCATGACCAAAATACCAGGAACTTTGCCATTAACTACTCCAAGGTAGTGGGTGGCTATGTTGCCATTTACAAACACTGTGAAGATTATAAAGCCATAGAGAGAGGAACTTCATAGCTATAGAACAGTTCACATCATTCACTTCACAAGTATTAATTCAGTACATATTATGTCCCAGGCATAGATGCAGAAGATACATAATGTCAGGGAGGGGCTGGGAAAAGGAGAGACCCGATATAATTTCTAGGTTTCTGGAGCGTCCATTCTCTTTGGCAGGTTCGGGAGTGCATCCCTTGTCTGAAGCTAAGAAATGGAAGGCATACCCTACCTGTGAGCTGTCGCCGTCGACTTCGGGTTGTTTCACAGTTGGTGGAGCAGGGTGTAAACTTGGACCAAACTGTGAAGGTGCAGTCATCTCGACACGGGACTGTGCATTCTTGTACAAGGGGAGGCATGCCATTTGTCTGCTTGAGGCATTCCATCATTGCTGCTAACTGGTTATCATCAGAGATACAGGAGACCGCTTTAAAAAAAAAAATGGATTCTTTTATCATTTTGATTAAATCAGTCTGCTGCTTATTCTTCAACAAAATAGCAGAATCCCCCAATGTTTGAAAATTTGGTTATCACCTATTAAAAAAGGTGTTCAACACAGCTAACCTTATTTCTCTCTGGAAATTAAACATTTATTGTTGCCAGTGGAGGTTTGTGAAGATTTAACTGGTTTCATTTTTAATCCAATTTGGTTGCATTGACAGCAACCAAAATAACTTTCAGTAATTTATTGTACATGAGCTTGTGAGTATCTAATCTCTGGGGATGATGTAAAACTAGGAAAGAATGTGTAAGATAGGAGGACAAAAAAGGGACAAAAAATGAGTATCATGTGAATTCTTCCTAGATTTTAATTTACTTTGCTTGTTTGAATGGCACTTCTGGAAATGGTCCTATTTTCACTTCATAGCCAGTATTTTTAAAAATTTCTGTTGTTAGTAAACTTTTTTTTACTTATTAACATTTCAGGATTAAAATTTTAAGTATTTTTTTTCAAATATAGGCAAAATTTATCCAGGTAACTCCCATTACAGATATCCTATCAATTGCAGAATTCTTCAAACTTCCACAGAAATTTTTTCAACTAGATCTCTACTTAGACCATAAAATAATAATCTTGAGGTAAAGAATTTATGAAATTTAATTCTATATTTGATTCTTTGGGCTAATGACTTTTTATTCAATTATAAATGATATCTTTTATTCATCCTAATTATGGACTTGGTAGGAATGGGTCTTTATATTCTTTAGACCACTATTTCTCAACCTTGGCAGTACTGATATTTTAGGTTGGATACTTTGTGTAGGTATTTGTTTCCTGTGCTCTGGAAGACATTTAGCAGCATCCCTGGCCTCTACTTACTAGAGACCAGCAGCACACACCCCCTCCAGACATGGCCAAATGTTGCCCTGGAGTGAAAACTACTCTTCTAAACTGATTCCTAACCATGGAGATCTAGGAGAACACACAGATTCTATGGCATGACTTCAGACCTACTGCATCAACATCTCTGGGGGAGAATTCTAGGCATATTTTTGTCTTTAAGTGTCCCAGGTGGTTCTGATGCAGTCTGTCCACCGACAACCCACATTTGGCATGGTGCCTGTGGGGATGGTATATGTTAATGGATATTTGCTGAATTCTTCATCCTTAAGAAATCATAGTTTAGGATCATTTTTATGACAACTCAAATCTACCAAGTTACAAGGAATAAACATATCACAGCTTAGGACCAACGCTGTTAAGAACACTTTATATGAAAACTTCTAAAATGCAGGGTAACTACACACAGGGACTCCATTTAATTGCCCATTCCTCTTATATTCTGAACTCCTTTCATTATTCTGAGTGCAGAGAACAATTCAATCTGATTTTTTTTTTTTTAAATAACTGAAAGCCAAATCCATCGAATGTTTTAGGACCAAGAAATTAGCTAAGATGACAATGGATGCATACACAATACTTCCCAATTTGTACACCTGCTCTGTGGCAGGTGGGGTTATTCACTGGTTTTGAATAATTTTTGCTTTTGTTTTTATCTACATCCTAGGAATGAAATCTATTGCACATAAAGCCACATCACCTGTGTTTGTTTTGTTGGGAATTCTACAGCTCTTAATGATGAATATACTAACATACTTTATCTTAAGTAGGCTACAAGCAAATATTATTTGAATTACATGTTTAGATAACCAACCTGAAGTAATTTAGGGGACTTTTATCTTGCCAAGGTATTTTTCCCCCCAAGAGGACAGTGCACTGATTAACATGAAGAGGAACGTTAAATACTTTTAAAAAGAATTGCTATTTGAAATCCAAACCCCTATGTATACACAAGTAAGGTATTTTTTCCAATGAAGTTTTTTTTCCACGAGTTTATGATTTGACAACTACGATGAACATTCAGTGATACCTTGAAATTCTATAAACTAAATTAGCAAACACTGATTTATGAATGCCTATATTGAGCTATTTTGCATTAATGAAAGAAAGCATCAAAAATAAAGAATAGTGATAGTATATGGTGTAATTCAGAGACATTCTTATCAAATGGTATGAATACAAATTCTAACTCCAAACATCTGGGAGTTACATGGAGTTTTTTAATCTTTGTGCTTAGACTCATCTTTAAAATTATTATAAGAGAACCTATAACAGAGTTGTGAGAAGGCTTAAGACAGTCTCTCTCATACACTAAAGGTTCAATAAATGCTACTATTATCCTTTTGTATTTAATTTTTAATTTCTATTTTAAATCAAACAGGCTGAGAGTTCTCCTCTCAGGTACACATGCACACACTGTCACTCTCCATGGCTCATTTCTTCCTTGGCCATCCTCAGAATCTGAGGGATAAAAGAAAGGAGAAAAGCATGGTTGAATCTCACAGGATTCTGGCACTACACTTAAAAACCACCATTAGTCAAACAATATGTCAAATATGCCCTAAACACATTCATTACATTGACAGGGCTATGTAGGACAGATCAGATCCACTGCTCCTATACAAACTAATGTATTAGAGTAGTCTAATAGAGACATTACGGATCTCTAAGGGCCAAAGAAAACATTGACAGTTGTAGCATGAAGTTTCACGACACCCCCATTAATCTCAAGACCACTCCTCTGTGTTGTTACTGATGGTCTATTAACTCAAGGATGAATGGCAACTGATACACTACAGATCATACAATCGTCTGCTTATGTCAGGCATTATGGTTCTCAGATTTCTCCAAGTTCAAGAGTCTAATTTCTTTTCAAGTGTGGAAAAAAAATCACTAGACACAGAAACATAAATGAGGAGTGCCTAGGTGGCTCAGTTGGTTGAGCGAACGACTCTTGGTTTTGGCTGTCATGATCTCAGGGTCATGAAATCAAGTCCCCTGCTAGGCTCCCACTGGATGGGAAGTCTACTTGGGATGCTCTCTCCTCTTCTCCCTCTGCCCCTCCCCACCTCTGCCTCACAAGTGTGAACACGCACACACTCTCCCTCTCAAATAAATAACATTTTAAAAAATATGAATACTTCTTGGGAATGTTCTAGTATAAAATCAATCATTTAATAAACATTTACTGGAAGACTGGATATTGAACTATACCAGTGGGTAGGAAATTACTGGAGAAAAACAGCAAGCACAAAGTCTGCAGGATTGGAAAACCAGGATATGAGAAGATACTTGGAGTAAATGAGGATAACTAGTAGCTAGTGGCACAATCCAATTCAGAGCCTCCTTCCATTAGGCAACTGGGGAAAGGCTATTTTTTAAATGTATTTATTTTAAATCTACAGTATAGTTCTTAACCACTAAAGGTGACTCTGACTCCTTACGTCAGAAAATTATAAGCCCTGGTGTCAAATAGAACTAAGAGTGACTTTTTTTTTTTTTTTTTTACTGTTACCTTGGACAAGTTATGTAAAGACTCCATTAACTCATCCATACAATGAGAATAATACCTACACCATATAATAAATTGATGCAGATGAAGTACTTAGCACAGTACTAAGCACTCAGTACATATGCCCAGAGACTGATTTTTTTTTTTTGAGGGAGTGTGCAAGCAAGCAAGTGCACAAATGCGGGGAGGGCAGAGGGAGAAGGAGAGGAAGAGAATCTCAACCAGACTCTGTGCTGAGTGGGGAGACCGAAGTGGGGCTCCATCTCACCACCCTGAGATCATGACATGAGCTAAAACCAAGAAGTGGACTCTTAACCAACTGAGCCACCCAGGTGCGCTATGGAGAATGACCTATTTTTATGATAAAGTCTAGTAAAAATGAAAACATAACAAGCACCAGGAAAGAAGAATCCAATGTCACTTGACTTGGTTCAGGAAGAATTTTCTAAATCCCACTATCAATAGTCTTGGCCCCTAAGAAGTATAACTGGAGCCTCCCTTCAATTACATATTGAAGTCAGTAGCCTATTCCAAAGATACTGTCTGTTCTATTTCCAAGATATGCTCTGTGCATTCTGCTAATTGTGTATAAAAGTGAGGCTTATAAGCTACCATAAGAGATCAGAACTCCAGAGAAAGTCAGAAACTGAAATCCAAGGCCTATTGGGAATTCTTTCCAGAAGCACCAAGATCAAAATCCTTAGCAACTCTTAAGAGTTTCATGAGAGGACAGTGATCGTTTATACAGAGGAGCACTGGCCATATTTGCAGCTTCACACCTCACTCACTGAGAGGGTTATATCCAGCACAAACGCGTACCGTGGCTCTCTATGCTAAAGCTGAATTCAAAAGCATTTTAACATCTGAGGTTTAGGGGGATTTATCAAACTTTTCTGGCCATTAGAACCATTTGTGCTTCATTACTGATCAGGAGAGGAATGAAATAAGGCAAAGAAATATAGATTATGCCTTAAAATCAGAGATACATCTTGGAGTCATTTTCTCTACTTCTGTTGGTGGTCTAAACATTAGACTTTGCTTATACACCTGGATCTTTATTACCTACAGCTTGTTCCCTATTGATCTTATTGAACTTGACCCATTCATCCATCCATCCAGTCACAATACATAAACAACTATGAACAATTACAAAAGCATTGTGTGTGTATACCTATATACACACACACATATGAATGTACATATAAATAATCTGGCTTCTGGGAGGCTACAGAAGTAATAGCGACAGAAGGTAGACCATACAATATTGTAGTCTCCCTAATGGAGACAACAAATGGGGGAACTTGGAAATAGAAAGGAAAAGTAGGTACTTCAATCTTACACGGAAAGGACGTGCAATGGGCAGGCAGAAAAAAGCCATTACAGAGAATTTACCTGTCAAACATTTGCTATTTAGTTTCACTCTGAGTCCTGGGTCCTTTGGATCATAGCAAATCATCGGTAGGCCACAATCTAGAGAAAAAATTTTTTTGTGCTTTTAAGTAAAGTACTGTCCTATACACTAGGGAGCAAAGTCTTTTGAGGAAAGGGAGAGGCATTTACTACTGAGCATTCC